TTTTTTCCCCCTTCACCCTGTGTCCCTGACTCCCTGTACGTAGCTGTCCTCTTCCTCTCTATCAATAAATTCTCTAGGCCTCTTGCCATTGGTTGCTCAAAACATGCTTTCAATGTTTCCACCCATGCATGTGCTATATAAATTACAACAATGGTAACTAAATAATGGGCACAATTTAATAAAACCTCTCATACCTAAGCTTTATATCTTTCCAAAGTCTTTTGCTTTCCTATACATAGCAGTAGTATATTGTTTGTTGGCTTGTTTTTAGCAAGTGATTGTCTGAAATTTTATGCAAGTAGAGTTAGTTTCAGTTGTTCTGCTTTCTGGTGGCATGTGATACATATTTGTGTAAGCTTCCATCTTTTTCCCAATTATATTTTTCATGAATTTGATCCATGCAGTAAACAATAACTAAATATAATTATGGTTCTCACTAGCAAAAGTGTTCATAGGCTGTTCATATTGCTGGGACCAAGGGAAAAGGATCAACTGCAGCATTCCTTTCCAATATTTTACGGCAAGGGGGCTACTCTGTTGGCTGTTATACAAGGTAATTCTTATTCCGCTCCAGCTTATTGTCCGTTCTTATTGAGAAAAATATTATAGAGAGGTATGAGCTAAATACAGCTTCACGCATTTCTCTACTTGCCTCTAATAATTATTATCTCTTGTTGCTTAGTTGCAGTGCAAGGAGACCGTATGTCCATCTTTCACCTGAAAATTGATCTTTATTTTGGTCAGATACCTCAAGCATGACAAATCATTTGCATAATGATCCGTGATCTGCAAATCATCATAGTGAACATTAGTGAAATGGATATGGATGTAAATTTATGTTCCACCTAACTTTCGTTTTTCTCTACATTAATGATATTCTTATAGGAAGTGCTGACAACCTAACTGTTATATAACGTATGGGGGGAACTCGTTGCTTAGTTGCGATCGTACTTGAAAGAAAAAGATCTTATATTTGAATGATTGCAATGATGTATCTTCATGGAAATCATGTTATATTTATTGGGTTCATTTTCGATGGATGAATATGCTTTTTAGTTTTTTTTGACCATTATAAACATTATAAATTGACAATAAGACCCTAAATGAAGCTGAATAGATGAAAGAATTCATGTACTCGTCCTACAAGTTAAAGATAACCTTATTCATTTTCCCTACTTCATTAAAGATTTTGATTGCTGTTATGGTTCCATTATAAATTATATAATAAAGATAATGGAGGAAATCACAAGTGTAGTTTTCAGTTATAGATGAAGCATTTAGCATCTACTGTTTTGGCAGTCATTTGATGCTATGTTATTAACAAATTGTCCGGCAATTTGTGAGGATGAATGTATATTTACATACTGTGTTTTTTACATTATATTACCATAGTAAAGTTAATTTGTCATTTATAGGCAAAGAACAAATGTTTTGAATAATTTTCAGTTGATAGAGATGCTCCATATTAAAAAAGGCATTTAGATATACAATATTAGAAGAGATGTTTAATTGTTATGATGAGTGTTAGATGATATTATATGTTTAACTGTTTTGGTATTTGGGTAATTGTGATCGCCTAAGTAATCCTCCTAATCTCTATTTAAGAGAGGTTAAGGTTAGATGAATAATATCTTTGGCTTTTCTATTTCTCTACATGGTATTAAAGCCATGGTGTTGTTGCCAACATCTCGATCCTAGAGAACTTCTCTGCTTTTTCAAGATCTTGGAGTTGCCAAGGGGGTTTTGCCGCAAGCATGGCCTCCATGCTTCCCCTTGGCGGCTTCAAAAACCTCGGTTGACGACTTTGGCATCATTGTTTTCTAGATCTTATCAAACACCCTCCACAAAATAACCTAAATAAAGAAGTCAGAATCTACTGTTCACACTATGACCACTACCATGATTACTGCTCACTGTTAACAGTATCATGATACAGTTCACTGTGAACAGTAACAACTCTTGCATCTTGCACTGATTGCCTTCAACAACTTCGGATCTGATCCGAGTCAAATCTACATCATCGGATTTATATTCCACCTACATTAAATATGCGCAACATTGCATCAAATCTCCCTTCGACAGAGCTGTTCAAGAATTTTTTGGTCCGTTCCTTGTATAGATCAATCCAAGATCTATCTACTCCATGCCTTAGATAGATTGGCTATTTTGATCACTCAAGCACAAAATCTTCAACATTTCCTTGGTTTCTACTGGCTAACCTGTCAGGAATTTCTATTGGCTACCCACCTAAGATTTTTACCGGTTTACCCACTTACACTTAGGGTTTCTACTGGCTGCCCGCCTAGGGTTTCTACTGGCTTACCCGCCTAGGGTTTCTTCTCACCTTGATACGTTCCTCTAGTGAGGGTCTTCTATTGCTGGTTGGTTGATTATCTATGTATCACAAAAATGAGGATTTGGTTGTGATCTTTGTCAGACACTATTTTGGCTTTTGGCTTATGCTCGAGTTATATCTGGCCATGGTTATACTTTTTGGGTTGCTACTTCATGAGATCTATTTCCTGCTCAACGGCTACTTCAAGTGAAGCAAACAAATATATAATGTTCTTCAACTGCTCCAAACAGAGTTTAACTTGACGAAAGCTCTTTTAAGTAATTGTTTTGTTCTTATATGTAACAAGCTGGTCATATATAATATATATGCTCCAGCTTGAGGGGGAGTGTTAGATGATATTATATGTTTAACTGTTTAGGTATTTGGGTAATTGGGCCAATATCCATATCCGCTTGTGTAACCTTTCTAATCTCTATTCTAGAAAGGTTAGGGTTAGATGAATAATATCTTTGGCTTTTCTATTTCTCTACAATAAGGAACATGAAAAGTGATGTTTCCTTCAAATTACTGTTATTTTTTAGCTATAAATTGTAGACCTTGCCTTGAAAAGTTAAATAAGTTTTCTTTTTTGCCTTTGTTGGTTTCACAAGAAATTTCATTTTACACTCACTCTTCTAGACTATTGGCACTTCTCTGCAGTGCAGTAATCATTTATACATATTGCACTTTTTAGGGATTTTAATATTCTTATCTTTTGTCTACTCTTTCCTACTGTAACTGATGTGCAAATCATCTATATAGTTACTGCAGTAGATGTGGCAGGGAATTTCCAGCTTCACCTAACCCATTTTCTGGTGCAGCCCGCATCTTTTGACTGTTCGGGAGTGCATCTCTTTTGGCAAAAAAGGAGGACATATTTCAGCTGATGCGTTAATAAATCTTTTTCACCAGACTAAGGAAATTATTGATCAGTCTATCGAACTGGAAAATGGATCCTTAACCTATTTTGAGGTAATCACTGGTTATTATATTTATAGGCATTATATATATATAAAGTTAAGTTTCCATGGTATCATATTTTTATGCATTGTATAGCTTGGGGAAACATTTGGTATATAATGTTGGTTTGGGCATTTCTTCAGTTGAGTGTGGTTCTCTTGTAAAGTAGGTGCTTCTAGCTGTTGCCTGTACTGAGTTAAATTCATACTTTGTGTATAAGATTGTTGACTTCTGAATATCAGTATACTTAGGTATACAGTAACAACAGCGACAAAGATGGTGAGCAACAACAATGTAGTCTTAACCAACTCTTTGGGTTGGTTACACATTTACATGAAATCTTTTTTCTCAAGTTAGCACTCATGACCACTTCTCTGTTTAGTTAACTAGCAACAAGTCCTCTTTTCTTTGTAATATGCAGTACCTCTTAATTTTAACCTAATCCCTGTGTGCTCGTTTATCTATGAGCTTATCATTCCTAATGATTATATGTAAACAGTGGTCTATCAGCTTCTGTTACAAAGTGCAGAGGGTGCACATTGTTTCAACCTTTTATGTTTGAGACTGAAGCAGCAGAATAACTGAGTCATATCTAATATTTGTGGACAGTCAAAAAGTTGAAATGATACATACATATTTGCCAGTTAGCTCTTCCATACACTTTCTCGAGCTGCCAGCCTGACTTCATTAACATTACTTTGCTTTGACATCTTATTTTTATGCTTTATGCATGTTTGACTAAGGTACGCTACTTCAATTAGAAAATTACTCCGAGTATGGTAGTCATGCATTTCACAAGTTTTTTCTTTTAGTTTGTCATTTGTCTCGCTATGTGATGATCATCACCCATTTCTCATTTTTTAACATTAAACCTGTCACCGCCAGTTTCATCTTCCAGTAACTATTACACCCTTTTCCTTCTAAAGTGTTTCTTGTTACAAATCTTCTTATAACAATCCTTTTTCTGTTATTGTTCACTTGGATTTGGTTGTATCACAGACATATACGGATCTCTGATATGCTTATCCCACGATACACCTATTAGTCCTTTGCCAGCATATCTCGGTAGTCCATTATTTCTCGGTACAACTCTTGGCACTTCATGCCTTGTTTGTTTCCCCTTTTCTGGTCATGTTTCAATTTGCATTCAAGTTAGGTTCTTCCTTTTATCTTCATGGAGACCTTTTTTTGTTATGGCGCTTTGTTTATATGTTCAGTATATTTTTTCTTATGAAATTTTTTCTTTGATCATTTTCCTTGCTGACATTTGTAGGTTTTTACTGGCCTCGCCTTTCTTGCATTTTTCCAAGAGAAGGTTGATATCGCTGTAATTGAAGTAAGCATTTTTTGTGCCATATTCAGAATTCAAGTTGAGGAACAAATTTACTTATGGTGTTAAGCTAATTCCCATCTTCTATAAGTTGGAATATGTTATGAGATAATGTTTTGTACTAAAACTTGTTTTCATCATGAATCTCCCCTGGTAATGTGCTGTATCCTTTTTCTGAAACACAGGCTGGTCTTGGGGGTGCAAGAGACGCAACAAATGTCTTGCGCAACACTGAACTTGCTGCATCAGTAATTACATCTATAGGTGAGGAGCATTTAGCTGCTTTAGGTGGTTCCCTTGAAAGCATTGCTGTCGCAAAATCTGGGATAATTAAGCATGGATGTCCAGTTGGGTGCTTCTCACCACTTGTTTATTTTGCGTTAACATGATGTTTGACCTTTATTATGGCTTTATGATTGTAAGTTGAATTGCATTTACCATGACGCACACTGCTTGAGATTGAATGTGCTGTAGTATTCCCTTTCCAAGGGAGTCTACTGTAAATATAATTATCTTCTCGATGGAAATGTTATCCCAGTGACTTTCCATGTGCAGCTATTGTTGCATGTTCATGCACACAAGTCTTCTTGTATACTTTTTCTTTTTCTTTTTACTTTTCTTTTTTTTTTTCATTGCAGTCCAAGGGCTTGCAAAGAGTGCTCTTTTTCTTTAAAAGATCTCATTATTGTGTGTATACTGATGTTCAAATAGTCTTATGGCCTGCATTTGGTAATATTTTATCAAGATATACTTTGGGATCTTTTAGGTGTGACATAAGCGTTTACTTTAAACCAATACTTGAAGTTGGTCATCATGCAAAATCTGGATACCGTAACTTCCAATGGGACTTTAATACTGCCATGTTGTGCCAACTACATCAGCATGAACACGAGCTAGCTTTTCACATTTAAAAGTAAAACAACATTAACAAATATTTCCCTAGTTATTCTTTGAATGTGGGCTGCTTTCCTTTTCAGCACCGTCTTTTTGGAGCCTATAAATAGAAACTGTTCCTTGCGATGCTTTATGGATCTTAATTGTCACAAACTGATGCAGAAAGTACAGAATTTTCATTCTAGGATTGCAACTGTTATCCAGTTCTTATGCAGTCTTTTTAAGTGTAATTTGATATTATTTTTATGCTTTCCTGTTTCAGTATCCTTTTACCACTTTGGTTTTGAACTTTAGTTGTGACGATCGTTCTTTAAATTTTTCAGGTGGTGATTGGAGGCCCATTTGAATCTCATGTTGAACACATTATTAGGGATAAAGCTCACTCCATGAATTCCCCAGTTGTATCAGCGTGTGATCCTGGAATTAAGAGTGCTATAAAATGCTTTAGCAGAGAGGATGGAGATCCTTACCAAACTAGTGACATACGTATCCAAGGTCGAGAGAATTTAGAGATGGTAAGGTCCTTTTGTTCCTCTCTATGTTTATCTAAATTTTGTTCAGGGAGTTGCAGTTCGTTGACTATGTCATAGTTTGAATTCCTGGATATATCTCTTTTTTTTTCTTGATCAAATTCCTCCTTTATCATATCCCATTCATTCTTTGCCTAAAGTTGTTTTGTGAACATGCAGTTTGTTGACTTGCCTGATGTAAAACTACGAATGCTCGGAAATCATCAACTCCAAAATGCAGTTACAGCTACCTGTACAGCACTTTGTCTACGGAATCAAGGTAAGAACATTCTCATTCACATTAATTTTTTGTTGGATATCCCTAATTAGCTTTATGTCTTTTTATAAATATTTGTTTAACTTAACCACATGTCCATATATACTCTGACAATGACAATGTCTGTATAAATAGAGTATTATAGTGTTTTTCTCCTGTGTTAAGCTCATATGACATCTTGAAGTTCAGTGACGTATACAAAAATCTGGGTCCATATGTTTATATTGTGATTTATATATTGTCACATTCAGAACTTAGTTTTAATTGCATAACAATAATTTATTAGCTTATACACTTCAGGAAATTCTTGAATGCTATGGTATTTGGCAACAGTTTTTGGTACAATAATTAATATAACTATACCATGTCGTTTGATTACCATCTGACAGACCATAGTTTTGTACAAATATGATGATGATTGTCATATACCATGTCTGGCCTACCATTTGAATGCATTTCACCAATGAAAATATGCAAATCAATACAACTGATGAGATGAGTGTATTTTTATTCAAGCATATGAAGTGGACCATCTTATTGTACTTTCACAACATTTCTTTACTAGACCTGCATAAATTTCTACAATTCGTTTGTAGAGGTATCACCTAGCTTTTATGTGATTACTTGTCAGAAGATTTTGGTAATATTCCGCTCTCTATCCATTCTTGTCAGAAAAGAAAATCAAGCAACTCAATTATAATATTCTAGTTGTCAATGATTTTGAAAAAACTATTCATACAATGTTATCACCATTATACAGTGATAACCCCTTGTTACATTTTGATAAAAGTTCCAGATATTGTACAATCCAATTAAAGGATGAGTACAAAGGGAAAAATATCAGGATTAATCATATAGCAGCTAACCTTGAAGACAGAAACTCAAATAGCAGAGCTCTTCAAACTTGATTTGATTCAAAAAACGGAATCAAACCATTCTTCTCCTGCTTTCATGATAAGAAACCATGCTGAGTAAAAGAGAGGAAAGGCAAGGATGGTCATTAACTAATAAAAAGGTTAATGAAGCCACCGAATTTGATGAATTCTTCATCACCAATAGTGAATTACTCTTGCACAGAATCTGAGATGCTCGATGGTTTAGCAAATTTGATGCAAAATCTGGATTCTGGCAAATAAAAATAAAGGATGAAGAATGTGAAAGGCTAACGATATTCAGCTGTCCTAATGGTGGGCATTATGAATGGAACGTTATGCCACTTAGCCTCAAAAAATGCTCCTCAGGTATTCCAAAAATGAATGAATAGCATTTTTGGGCATTAACTATTTGTCTGCATAGATGACATCCTTGTGTTCTCAAAAACTAAAGAAGAACACATAGAACACCTGATAGCGGTAGCTCAGCTATTGCTCAATCATGGTATTATATTATCTCCTAAAAAGATAACTCTAATAACAGAGGATATCAAATTTTTAGGGAAAAGAATTGAAAGTGGTCACATTGCATTGCAAGACCGCATTATAACAAAGATCAAAGAGTTCGAAAATAACTTTGAAACTCTAAAAGATATACGAAGCTTTCTTGGCTTACTAAATTATGGGAGAAGGTATATACTACTTGTCAGAAGATTTTGGTAATATTCCGCGCTCTATTCATTCTTGTCAGAAGATTTTGGTAATATTCCCACTCTCTACCCCCAAATGGACGATCAATAAAACTGCGAGCAAAGTTGTTAGATGATTGTTTTGAGATTTTTATTCCTTCTATGCACTTCTTACTTCCTTTGAAACTAAGTATTCGCTTTAAATCTAATCATTTGGTGAAATATCAGGTTTTAAGATATCAGACAAATCCATTCGAGCTGGTCTAGAGCAGACAACATTACCTGGGAGAAACCAGTTTCTAACTCGCATGGAGGCTGAGACACTTGGTGTATCTGAAGCATCCATACTTATTGATGGAGGTTCTACTTAATCCTATTTTTTTAATGTTTCTCATATGCTATTAACAACTAATAATTAAGATTATGATATTTCCAGCACATACCGAGGCATCTGCTGAAGGATTGTCAGATGTAATTAGGATGACATGTCCTGATGGAATGTTTGCTTTTGTGGTGGCAATGGCAACTGATAAAGATCATTTAGCATTTGCAAGAAAAATTCTTACAGGTACTGGCTGACTTTTTCAATATTTTAATTGTGTTATCCCATATAATGTTGTCGGATATGTAAAATAAATGGAGGCATTGCTTGATGGTGTATAGGATTTCTATTTTTGAGCTCTTCTTTCATCTCAATCTCAAAACTTTGAAGGTTTATCTTCAAACTGATATTTTCATTTCTACTTATTATATCTCAATTATATTTACTTAAGGGTAAATTACACCAACCCCTGCACCCACCCCCTCCCCCCCATAAATTAGAACCAAAAAACAACATTAAAAGGCATTTTGAAAATTGTTGGGGGGGGTTCGTGCAATTTACCCAAAAGATGTTGGGGGGTGTTCTGGAAAAGTTATTGGGGTTTAGTGTGATTTTGAAAGTTATTGGGGATTTTCTACAAAATGCAGAAAGTTCCTAGGGGTTTAGTGTAATTTACCCTCATTATATGCATGCTTCACAATGTTTTAATTTCCAACAGCTCTTCTTGGTTATGTTTTTTATATGTCATTGACTTTGCCACATACATATTTTGCATCCTTAGATTATATCTCTTAAGTTAAGCATCTCTCGTAAATAATTGACGATGAACAACCGTACAACATATATGTTTAACTCAACTGTGGAAAACAATGATGATGATACATTGCTTGTTATTTTATCTTTAAACTCATCGATAGAAAATTATAAAGAAAATATAAATAGTTTTATTGAATATATAAAATCTCAATCACCTTGTCGTGTGCTAAGCACTGGCCCAGTCCCTAAGATTAAACTTGCTGAAGTTGAGACATACGTTACCTAATATTTGGTATTGAAGTCTATAAAATCCTTTTAAATAACTTTGTGAAAACAAGTGAACATTTTATTGCTGAAGTTGAACACATTCTATAAAATCCTCATGTTGAGCTCCTTCTGAGTAAAAGATATATTTCAAATTTTTATGATTTGTATACACCTTCACTCTCTGTCCTAAAAGATAGTGTCATCATAGCTTCAATGCAAAAATAAGCAACTCTAGATTATGAACCGGGTAATTCCTCTCATGCGTCTTCAGTTGTCTAGATGCATAAGCTACTACATTTCTATATTGCATCAGAACACAACATAAACCCAAACCAGAATCATTTGTGTGCACTACAAATCCTTCCGACTCATCTAAAATAAAATAGTTTCGAAAAATAATGTAATAAAAACTATTTACAAATTAATTGTCATAACTCTAGGAGGAGAATACTAGTAATTAGATAAGGTATTATGAAAATAAAAGAGTTTAAGTTAAGAAATGCTTTCATAAGGTGTCGAGATTTTTCCTACAGCATCGTAATTAAAAATATATAAAAACTAACTACAATCTATTCCTCATGGTTATCTACGAAGAAATACAAGTATTTAGATAAGGAGATCATGAAAATAAAAGAGTTAAAGGATAAGAAAATGCTTGTCGATGAATAATTTGAACTCTGAACTTAGAAATCCCTATCCGTTCCCTGTGTTTGAGTACCCGATCCTCTGATTTTCTTTTTTTTCCTTCTCGGTCCTCTCTCTTTTTTTCCCCTCTCCGTTTTTTTTTCCGGGAGTTAAAGTGAAGAAAAGGCAGAGGAGATGGATAGAGATTTTAAAGAGATAAGGTTGTTGGATAGTTAGAGATTTTCTAAGATGGTGGGTTCATTTGTTAAACGTGGGTTTAGGTATTATCTTTGTCACATTCCAAAATTTTGGTATTACATCCTACCCACCTAAGAAAAAAAAATTTCTTCCTCGAAATTAAATCCAAGCACACGAGGAACTAGATGTTACCGGTAATAAAGAGATGTGGATAGCGCTGATAAATATCGTCCTCTCGCTCCCATGTTGCCTTACCAGGTCCACGATGTCCCCAGGATACCAATACTAAAGGGATAGTCCTATTCCTGAGGATCTTCTCCTGTCTTTCCGAAATCTCCATTGGTCTCTCCTCATATGAAAGGTTCGTCCTAATTTGAGGCGCTGCGATGTTCAGGACATAGGTCTCTCTCGCACATATCGTCGAAGTTGCGATACGTGAAATACATCATGCACTCCCTCCAACGATGGAGGCAAAGCTAGCCAGTACGCTACCTCTCCTGCTCTCTCCAATATCTCGAATGGACTGATGAAACATGGACTAAGCTTCACACGACTGTCAAATCTAATAACTCCTCTGTTCAGAGATCCACAAAAAGACATGTTCTCCAATCATGAACTGTAGAGGTTTTCTCTTGGCATCAGCCCAACTCTTTTGTCTATTCTGAGTCGACTTAAGGTGATTCTGTATCGTCTTTATCTTCTCCACCGTATGTACTATCATCTTAGGCCCTAGCAGACGCCGCTCTCCCAAGTCATCCCTACATGTAGGAGATCTGTATTTTCTCCTATATAAAGCCTCATAAGGCGTCGGATGCTGGCCTAGTAACTGTTATTATAAGAAAACACCACCAAGTGTAAGTGGTATTCCTAAGAGCTCTTGAAATCCAACATGCATGCTCGCAACATGTCCTCCAGAATCTGTATAGTCCTCTCTGATTGTCCATTTGTCTGAGGGTGGTAAGCCGTGCTGTAACTCAGTCTAGTCCCAAGACACTGTTGTAAGCTCCTCCAAAAGTGTGATAAAAATCATCTCTATCAGACACAATGCTAACCGGTATCCCATGCAAGCGTATTATCTTCCTCATGTACAACTTCGCTAAACTCTCCGTCGTCTATCCAACTCGAAATGGTATAAAACGAGCCGACTTGGTTAGTCGGTCTACCACTACCATACGGCGGTATTTCTCTTCTGGCTCCTTGGTAGGGTTGTGACAAAGTCCACTGTAACATGTTCCCACTTTCACTCGGGAATGGGAAGGGGCTGCAATAACCCGACGGTCCTCTGATGCTCAGCCGTCACCTGCTGACTTACTAGACATTTTGACACAAATCGGGTTATCTCCATCTTCATTCTTGGCCACCAATAATGCTCTCTCAAGTTCCGATACATTCTTTGTGCCTCCTGGATGAATAGAAAGCATTGAACTGTGCGTCTCCTCCAGCAATTTTCTCCTAACATCACCCTTAGGCACACACATTTTACCACGGAATCGCAAGGATTCATCCTCATGTTTATGTAAATCAGTTCTCTCCCCAGACTCTACTTGTTTCTTAAATCTTTGGTACCAAGCATCCTTGAACTGGGTAGCCTTGATCCGATCTACCAGAGTTGACTGTAAATACAAACTCATCAACTGTCTTCTTACTCCAGGCAATATAATCTCCATGTTCATCCTCTAGAACTCGGCTAACAACTCCCGCTGTCTGGTAAGTCTTATCACCACAGGCTTCTTGCTCAAATGATATGGTACCACATTTACACGTCCTAGGTGATACTACAAATCAATATCATAATCCGCCATAAGCTCTAAGCACCTGCACTGCCTCATGTTGAGCTTCTTCTAAGTAAAAGATATATTTCAAACTTTTATGATCTGTATACACCTTCACTCTCTGTCCTAAAAGATAGTGCCGTCATAGCTTCAATGTAAAAAATAACAGCCGCCAACTCTAGATCATGAACTGGGTAGTTCCTCTCATGTATCTTCAGTTGTCTAGATGCATAAGCTACTATCTTTTCATGTTGCATCAGAACACAACCTAAACCCAAACCAGAAGGATCTGTGTGCACTACAAATCCTCCTGACTCATTCGGAATTATCAAAACTGGTGTTGTCGTCAACTTCTTCAACTCAAATGCTACTTGACACTCTTGAGTCCACACAAACTTGACCTCCTTTTGAGTCAGCCTAGTAAGTGGTCCTACAATCTTAGGGAAATCATTCATGAATTTCCTATAGTATCCAATCATTTCTAAGAAACTCCTCACTTCTGTCACTGATGTAGGTGAATCCAACTTTAACACTGTGTCAACCTTCTTTGGGTCCACAAAGATACCTGCTCCTAAAATCACGTCCTAGGAAGGACATTTGCTCCAGCCAGAACTCACACTTGTTTAATTTTTCATAGAGCTTCTCCTTTCGCAGGATTTCCAACACCGTCTGTAGATGCTCTGCATGATCTTTCTTGGTCTTGGAGTATACAAGAATATCATCGATGAACACTACCACAAACTGGTCAAGATGCTAGGAACAGGGCCGGTCCTAACATAAGGCAACTAAGACCTTTGCCTTAGGCCCCAAGTTGGATAAGGCCCACCCACCTATATATATAATATATGTAATTTAGTTACTTAAGCATAAACCTAACCCTATTTAAAAAGTGAAGATCCAAAGATAAAAAGTGAAGCTAATAGCTTAGCAACTTATGAGATTGAAAATTTTGAATTCTTAATAGCTATGAATATTTAGTATGATATATTGTTTGCTGTTAATTCAGTTAGTAAAATCTTACAATCTAAAGATATGCATATTGATATTGTCATAGATCAATTAAAGGGTCTTATTGTATATTTAGAAAATTATAGACAAAATGCTTTTATATCTGCTTTGAATTCAACTAAAGAACTTGCTAATGAAATAACGTACAACCTATATTTTTTGAAAAACGTAAAATTCATAGAAAAAAACAATTTGATGAAAATATTGGTAATGAAACAACATTTAACGCTGAAGAATCTTTTCGTATTGAATATTTCTTATACATAGTTGATAAATCGTTTGGCTTAATTGAAAGTAGGTTTGAACAATTTAAAACGTATGAAAAAAATTTTGGTTTTTTGTTTGCTTTGAAAAAATTAAAAGCTTTAGATTATATTGAATTGAAAGCATATTATCTTAATCTCGAAAATGCACTAAAACATGATGAACATTTAGATATTAATGGACTTGATTTGTTTTCAGAATTGAGAGTGCTTAGGGAAATTTTAAAAATAGAGATTAATAGTCCAATTGAAGTGTTGAACTATACAAAGTGGTTAGATTCTTTTCTAAATACTTGTATTGCTTATCGTGTACTATTGACTATACTCATAACAGTTGCTTCCGCTGAAAGAAGTTTTT